AGACAAACAAAAGTTAAAGGAATTCATGACCACTAAACCAGCCTGACAAGAAATGTTAAAGCAGACCCTTTGAGTGGAAAGGAAAGACATAAGTAGGAGTAAGAAGAGTAGGAAGGACAAAACCAGTAAAATTAATTATATCTATAAAAATCAGTGAAGCAACTCACAAAATAAAAGGTCATAAAGTTTGATATCATATACCTAAAACATGGGGATAGAGGAGTACAAATGATTTCAAACTTACATGACCATCAATTTAACATAGACTGCTATGTGTATAAGATGTTATAGGCAAACTTATTAGTATCCACAAATCAAAAACCAGGGATAAATATACAAAAAAAGGAGCAAGGAATCAAAGTGTATCACTAAAGAAAGTCAGCAAACCATAAGAGAGGAGAGGAAGAGTAGAAAGGACAGAGAAAAACTACAAAAACAACCAAAACACGAGTAACAAAATGGCAATAAGTACATTCATATCAATAATTACTTTGAATATAAATGGACTAAATGCCCCAACCAAAAGACATAGAGTGACGGATTGGATAAATAAACAAGACCCATCTATATGCTGCCTACAGGAAACTTACTTAAGACCTAAAGACATATGCAGATTGAACATGAAGGGACTGAATAGCATTTATCATGCAAATTGAAGTTGAAAGAAAGCCAGAGTAGCAATACTTATATCATACAAAGTAGACTTTAAAACAAAGACTGTAATAAGAGACAAAGAAGGACACTATATAATAATAAGGGAACAATCCAACAAGAAGATATAACAATTGTAAATATTTATGTACCCAATATGGTGGAACCTGAATACATAAAGCAGCTAATAGCAAACATAAAGAAAGTCATTGATAGTAATGCAATAATCGTAGGGGACTTTAACACCCCACTTACACTGATGGACAGATCATGCAAACAGAAAACCAACAAGAACACAGTGGCTTTGAATGACACATTGGACCAGATGGATCTAACTGATATATTCAGAATATTCCATCCTAAAACAGCAGAACACACATTCTTTTCAAGTGCACAGGGGACATTCTCCAGAAGATCACATATTAGGCCACAAAAGAAGCCTCAACAAATTCAAATAGATTGCAATCATGCATACCTTTTTTTTTTTAAAAAAACAGTATGAAACTAGAAATCAACAAGAAAAAAATCTGGAAATAATACAAATACATGGAGGTTAAATAACATGCTCCTAAACAATGAATGAATCAACCAAGAATTCAACAAGAACATTTTAAAAATATGGAGACAAATGAAAATAAAAACACAATGGTCTAAAATCTTTGCAAAAGCAAAAGCTGTTCTAAGAGGGAAGTTTGTGGCAATACAGGTCTACCTCAAGAAGCAAGAAAAACTCAAATGAACAACCTACTCATACCCCTAAAGGAGCTAGATAAAGATGAACAAACAAAACCCAAAACCAGTATAAGGAAGGAAATAATAAAGATTAGAAGAGAAACAAATGAAATAGAAACTAAAACAAAGCAAAACAAAAAGTAGTAGAACAGGTTCTTTGAAAAGAGCAACAAAATTGGTAAACTTTTAGTCAGACTCATAAAGAGAGAGAGGGAGAAAGGCAGAGAGTGAGGTGACTCAAACAATGAGAAATGAAAGAGGAAAAATAATGAGTGACACCACAGAAATACAAAGGATTGTAAGAGAATATTATGAAAAATTTAGGCCAACAAATTGGACAATATAGAAGAAATGGATAAATTCCCAAAAACATACAATCTTCAAAACTGAACCAGGAAAAAATAGAAAATGTAAACAGACCCCTTATTAACAATGAGATGGAATCAGTAATCAATAAACTCCCAATAAACAAAAGTCCAGGACCAGATAGCTTCACAGGTGAATTGTACCAAATATTTAAAGATGAGTTAATACCTATTCTTCTCAAACTATTCCAAAAAAATAGAAGAAGCAAAATTTCCAAATTCATTCCAGGAGACCATTATCACCCTGATTCCAAAGCCAGATAAGGATATCACACAAAAAAAGAGAACTTCAGGCAAATATCTCTCATGAACATAGATGCAAAAATCCTCAATAAAATACTAGCAAACTGAATCCAACAATACATTAAAAAAACCATGCACTACCTTCAAGTAGGATTTATTCCTGAGACACAAAGGTGGTTCAGTATTCATAAATCAGTCAAAGGGATACATCACATCATCAGGAGAAAGAATAAAAACTATATGATTATTTCAATAAATACAAAAAAAAAACACATTTGACAACCTACAACATTTATTCATGATAGAAACCTTCCACAAAATAGGTTTAGAGGGAATATACCTCAACATATTAAAGACCATGTATGAAAACCCCACAGCAAACATCATACCCAATGGTGAAACACTGAGAGCTCCTCCCCTAAGATCAGGAATAACATAAGGATAGTCCACTCTCCTTACTTCTATACTGGAAATTTTAGCCACAGCAATTAGACAAGATAAAGAAATAAAAGGCACACAAATTGGTAAGGAAGAAGTAAGACATTCACTATTTACAGATGACATGATACTATATATAAAAAATTCTAACAACACCACCAAAAAAAAAAGTCTACTAGAACTGATAAATGACTTTGATAAAGTCACAGGATACAAAACCAATATGCAGAAATAAATTGCATTTCTATACAGCAATAATGAAGTAGAAGAAAGAGAAATTTAAAAAATAATCCTAATATAATTGTGCCAAAAACAATGAAATATGTGGGAATAAACCCAACCAAGGAGGTGAAAGACCTATACTCTGAAAAAAATGAAATACTGATGAAAGAAATTAAAGATGACACAAACAAATGGATAGACATTCTATACTCATGGATTGAAAGAACAAATATTGTTGAAATGTCCATACTACCCAAAGCAATTTACAGATTTAATGCCATCCCTATCAAAATACAATAGTATTTTTCACAGAACTAGAGCAAATAATCCTAAAATTGGTATGGAACCACAAAAACCCTGAATAATCAAATCAATCTTGAAAAAGAACAAAACTGGAGGTATCACAATCCCAGGTTTCAAGATATACTACAAAGCTGTAGCAATCAGAACAGTATGGTGTTGGCCCCAAAACAGACACATAGATCAGTGGAACAGAGGAAGGATTTCACAGAATGAAACTCATGATTATATGGTCAATTAATACTTGACAAAGTAGGAAAGAATATCCAATGGGAAAAAAGAGTCTCTTCAACAAACTGGGCAGCCACATGCAAAAAAATGAAAGTGGGCCATTTTCTCACATCATACAAAAAAATAAACTCAAAATGGATTAAAGATTTAAATGTGAGGGGCGCCTGGGTGGCGCAGTCGGTTAAGCATCCGACTTCAGCCAGGTCACGATCTCGCGGTCCGTGAGTTCGAGCCCCGCGTTGGGCTCTGGGCTGATGGCTCAGAGCCTGGAGCCTGTTTCCGATTCTGTGTCTCCCTCTCTCTCTGCCCCTCGCCCGTTCATGCTCTGTCTCTCTCTGTCCCAAAAATAAATAAACGTTGAAAAAAAAAATTAAAAAAAAAATAAAAAAAAGATTTAAATGTGAGACCTGAAAGCCATAACAATCCTAGAAGAAAACACAGGCAATAATGTCTCTGACATTGGCTATAGCAACATTTTTCTAAATATGTCTCCTAAGGCAAGAGGATCAAAAGCAAAAATTAACTATTAGAACTACATCAAAATAAAAAGCCTCTGATAGCCAAAGAAATAATCAACAAAACTAAAAGGCAAGCTACCAAATGAGAGAGAAGATATTCCCAAATGACATATCTGATAAATATATAAAGGACTTATAGAACTCAACACCAAATAATCCAATTAAAAATGGGCAGAACATGAATAGACATTTCTCCAAAGAAGACAGCCAGATGGTCAACAGACATATGAAGATACTCAACATCATTATTAGGGAAATACAAATCAAAACCACAATGAGATATCATCTCACACCTGTCAGTATGGCTAAAATCAATAAGATAAGAAACAAGTGTTGGTGAAGATATGGTGGAAAAGGAACCCTCTTGCACTGTTGGTGGGAATGTAGCCACTGTGGAAAACAATTTGGAAGTTCCTTAAATAATTAAAAATAGAACTACCTTATGATTCAGTAATTCCACTATTGTATATTTACCCAAAGAATACAAAAACATGAACTCAAAAAGATATATGCACCCCTATGTTTATTGCAGCATTATTTATAATAGCCAAAATATGGAAGCAGCCCAAGTGTCCATTGATAGATGAGTAGATAAAAAGGTGGTACACACACACACACACACACACACACACACACACACACGGGAATATTATTCAGCCATATAAAATAATGAAGTCTTGCCATTTTTAGCAACGTGGATTGATTAGAGAGTATAATGCAAAGTGAAATATAATAGTCAGAGTAAGACAAATACCATATGATTTCACTCATATGTGGAATGTAAGAAACAAATAAACAAAAACAAGCAAAGGGGAAAAAATGAGAGAGGGAGAGAGAAACCAATCATATATAGAGAATCAATTAATTACAGAGAACAAACTGAGGGTTAACAGAGGGGAGGTGGGTAGGGTATGGGTGAAATAGGTGATGGGGATTAAGGAGTGTACTTGTCATGATGAGAATGGGGTCATGTATGGAATTGTTGAATCAATATATTGTATATCTGAAACTAACATAACACTGTATGTTAACTAGAATAGAATTAAACATTTAAATAAATAAATAAAATAATCAATGACCGTCTCAAAATGAGAAATTTGAGGAGCAAGTATTTATTTTCTATCCATGATAGTCCATGTATAGTCACCAAACTAAAGTATTTCTCTGATTCCTTGGATTCTAATCACATTTCATAAGTGAAAGATACCTTTATATTTGTACTTTATTTCAGAAATTTCTATAGCTTGGCTTATTAAAACTTACAAAACTTTAAGGCATGAAGTATACCCAATATGCATACATCAGATATTGAACATTATGCAAATTTTTAAATCTTAAAACATATGACTTGTTAAAGGGAGTTTCCGACAAATTCACTAGGGTTTTTGTTTTCTTTCTACATAAAGCTCTGGGTTATAATAAGAGTTAAGCAATAGCATTTTCTTTCAAAAAAACTTCAAACTTCATATGATTATAGTAAATCTCCCTAGATAATTTTACTAGATCAGTTTCTGACTTTTTAAAATAATACTTGCAGAGATCTTTATTTTAGTTTTTGTACTCTTTATATCAATTTCCCTATACAATAGGAAAAACAACTGTACTTTACTCAAGTGTTGTTGCAAAGATGAAACAACAGAATTGGTGTGAAGCACTGCTCCTGACAGAGAATACACTGCTCAATAGATGTTAGATTTTATTATTAGTATTACTGTCATTATTAATTTATTATTATTATTAATAACAATAATTATTATTACTATTCCTTTAGAAACTTCATCTGCCCTGTCTTTCTTGTGTTAATATATAGAGAAAGTATAGTGGTCTAGACACAGGCAGACCAATATTCCACATCCTGGAGGGAACTACTGTTCAGACTTTAGGAGAAGACTCTCAGCTCCCTTTCTCTGCCCCTGTCTCTAGTTACCAAGTGTTGGCTATGAAGCCATGGCCTGAGTGAGTGAGACCTCTAATAGCTGGGAGCATGCCTTCTTTCATTTTCAGATTGCCTTGTCACATCCCTCAGAGGGGACTTTGGGCACGAGAGAAGTTATGGGTTGCCCCTAGACATCCACTGGCCCTAAGAGGGGCAAGTCCAGTGCCTCTAGGGTAGGGTTGCCCAATAAAATACAGGATACCCAGCCAAATTTGAATTCCAGAGCAGCAACAAATATTTTTTTAAGTACAGGTATACCTCTAGTGGGGCATACTAAAAGTGTATTCTACTATACTAAAATGATTATACTTATACTAAAAAATTATTTGTTCTTTATCTGAAATTCAACTGGGCGTCCTATTTGTTAAATCTGGCAACCGTATCCTGGGGTAAATCCCTACTGCTTGGTGGGCAGGGACCTGTACTGTTCATCTTTGTTCTCTTGTATCTGAAATAGTACTTGACACACACACACAGGTACCTGAAATGTTTGTGGAATAAATGAACTAAGACCACCTTGGTTTCTAAAGCCAGCCTACTCTCTGCACCTCAAAAACTTCCTGAATTCCACCAGATGTCCATGAGGCACTGGCCACTTCCCCTGGCCTATAGGGGGTTGGAGGTGGGACAATGTCATTTGCTAAATATCAAATGTAGAGAAGCAGGGAGCAAGAGTAGGAGTAAAATGAGGGATTTGCAAAAGGCCAGGTAAGAAGAGTGAAGAAATAATAAAATGTCTGGGTCAGAGAAGTGATATCTTCATTTGAAGCTGGTGAACATTTCTGATAAGTGGAATTCTCACCACAAAGAGTTTCTCTCATACACAATCTTCCTTGTTTTTATGATTTGGAGATTTGCATAACACAGGAGTTAGGGGACAGGGATGGTAATGAAGAGTCACCAAAGCAGCCGAAGCCAGAAGATGGACCAAAGAGAACTTTTTGTCACTGGCCATCGATCCAACTGGGTTTTGTCATAGGATTTTGCTGTCAGGGAGTTAGGATCAGTGTTCGTTCCGATAGGTTAGAAGGTCAGGAAATGGTAGGTAGAAGTTAGAATTTATAATAAACATTCACTGCTCCTTCACTTCTTCTAGTTTTTAATTTGCTATAAAAAGACAGGAGAGAATTTGTTCAAAACCAAAACGCTTTTCTGGAGATAAACTCTGCTTTCCTCGGAGAGCAAGGAAATGCATCACAAATACAAACAACACTGGTGGAGCCATTTGTCCTGTGTGTGTTTACTTGCTGGGGGCCAGTGGGTTGGGCTCATGTAGGGGGTTGTTATTTCTCTTCCATTTGTCACTTTTAACTCCAGAGGTAACTTTACAGAAATCTTTGTCAGAGTTCTATAATCCGCTAGATATTAACTTGGCTTTAACTCAACATGCCATATTACAAGAGGCTCAGATGATTTCCAGTCTGAACAGTTTCTGGTCTTGTTGCCAAAGTAAAGTTTTTAAAAGTACCTCTAGGGATGCTCAGGGGGAGGCCTAATTACCCCCCTCTTGTGTGAGCTGGATTTCCCTTGGAAACAAATTAGCCCTTGGGCAGCTAGCTCACTGCTCTCACTGTACCTCAAGATGGGACTATGAAGCTGGCAGAGGTGGAGAGACTGGCAGCTGCACTTCCTGGATCCTTAAGTCAAAGGAAAGTAGTATTAATTAATGTTTGACAATCTTGGCTTGTGATCCCATGTCCAGATTATGTACTCCTGCAAAGTTAATTCTGTTAGAGGAGAAGTAGAAGAACATAATGGATCAAATCCACATTGGAGTCCTAAATTCTTAGGATGTTATGTTCTTTACTCTTTAGCAATTTCTTGGCTCATCGGTCATCATAAGAATGACAGAGAATCCCCCAGCACCACAGTGCTGTCATCTGTTTTGGGACTATAATAGGTAACAGTTCTGGAACAGTCACACTCAAATACTAAGGGAAAGGACGGTGGTAAGTCTAGGTCTTGGTACCCAATTTGGCCTCTGACTGAATGGGCAAGAGCAGAGTCCACTAGGTGCCTGGTTATATGGGAGCCAGTCGTGCCAATGATACAACTTTGCCTAAAATGAAATGATTCCACGGTTTATTTCATTCACACAAGACTTTTTAAAGGGTTCTCAAAAGGAGATGGTTGTGGGGAAATGAACTGAACATAGCCTTACAGGGAAGGTTCACGACTCCAATCTCCTGTTTATTAGTGATGTGGCAAATCTTTTTAGAAGTCTAAGTCTCATTCTTGTCATATAAAGATGGAATTAGTGACAGAGCATCATCAGATTGCTGAAAGCATTATACATTGGATTTGACAGTGTTGCCCATACAGAATGGGCATGAAAAAATCAAATGGTAAAACCCTGGGTGGCTGCTGCCCAGTGTGGACACGTGACACCAGAGGAAGGCAGCTTGTGTAGGTGATACCAAACTTGGAAGATGAGTGTCTCCTGCTCAGAGCCAGGGGGACTATACGATGCTTTTACTTCTGTAGTATCCTAAAGGATAGTTGCCCTTGCTACTGAGATGCAGAAGTAGTTTAAAAACAAAACAAAACAAAACAACAACAACAACAACAAAACCCTCTGTGCTGTAAGTATAAATTCTGAGCAATTGTAGACAGAAAGTTCCCAATATTTAGAATAAAAGTTAAAAGCCCTCATATGAGGAAGTGGCTTCTCTAATGCAGATGTTCAGGCATTTATTTGCTCACTTTTCTTTCAGCCAGGATGAGAGAGAATGGGATATGGAAAGAGCATGAGCCAAAAATGCAAAGCCCCTGTGATTCCGAGGTAAAGGTACCTTGTCAGTTTTGCCACTGACTGGTGGTTCAGATGTGCCTTAACTCTTTAGTCAGGAGTCCTGAGACTAGAACGGGCAGGTCAGATGAATAGCAGCCTTAACAGAAGACAGCTGGATCTTAACGAATTGGCATCTGAATGTGGCCCAAGTCACAAAAGCACTCTGTTAAGTATAAAGGAATATAAAAATGTAGAGTAGTAATGTCATTAGAATGCTTTGAATCAAGGGTAAGAACTGTAAAAACAACATGCTCCTTTTTTTCTGGGCTAACATTACTGTCTAGGGATGAGAGCAGGTAAAAGGATTAAAGAGAGGTTATCTACCATGAAAATGAAATCACAGGAGAAGAAAAAAAGTTGATACACTGTCACTTGCCAGCTTTTGACACTGGAAGAACAAAATAATGGTTGTTTTCCTTCTTGATACATCCTATCATAGTTTCCACCCCAAATATGATATCTTACCCCATTTTTAATAGGTAGAAATGTATAGCTACCTAGAAATGGGAGAGGAGGGTAAAGTCAGTCAAAACACACCAATGACTGAGTTGGGGACAGAACACTACACAAAACAAAATCCTGTGATTCAATTCCTGCCAACCTATATCAAAGTCTAGCCAACAGCCTTCAACCTAATAAAAAGTCCACCTTTTGCCTGATGGTAAAGCTGAACATCATTAAGAACTATTTTTCTTAGGCTGAGCTATCCCACAATCGTCGATCTCAATCATCGCTGAAGTGTTGTGTTCATTCTCTCTCATTTATTAGATGTCTTTCTTTAAGTCCCAAAGGAAAGTTTGGAGAGCAAAATATTAGTCACTGAAGAGAGTTCTAAGCTCTGCCTGGGTTTAGCTACATCGAGGATCTAATGCAATGCTTTTCAAATGACCTGTGGAACAGAACCAGCTTTTTGCTTTTTTAATTTTCATATGTCAGAGAGCAATATTTTTGTGAAATATGATAAAAATAAATGACCAGAGAAATAAAGCGAATAAGACAAAGAACTGAGTATAAGCCCACTGATCATCCGTTTGGATATTGCAGCAATGTCAAATTGCTAAACTCTTATTTTCAGTTTCTGCAATAACCTCATCACAGGCTAGTAAAAATGTTTGCAGACTGGTGTTGGTTCATGAGCTACACTTTTAGTAGCTCTGGTATAAGGGACATGTTAAACGAAAGCACCTACTATAGTGCCCACCTGGAAGAGAGTACTGATGCCAATAGTTAACATTTACTGAGGGCTTTCTATGCATGAGCCACTCACTGTTCAGGTCTGCTACATGTATTACTTCTTACATAATCCAGTGGGTCAAATCCTGCTACTTCCTCCATTTACAGATGGAGAAGCTTAGGCACAGAGAAGTTCAGTAACTTACTGAAGGTCAACTAGTAAACCCAGCACAAAGTATCTGCTTCCAGACTGCACCCACTCACATGGCTTTCCCACCTGCCTCTCTGTAGGTGTTTGGTTCAGGCTGCATCTGAATCTACCCCAGGGATAAGTAATACATATAATGGCATTGGTGATAATGCAGTAACTAGCAAGAATCATTTTACCTTCATATCTTTGAGTAAGATTCTATGGGAAACAAGACACCAGAACAGAGTTGACATACAATCACTGAGCAACCCTTCATAGTGATCTGAAAAATGACTTTTGGCATCC